GAATGCTAGGTTTCTGTCACGAATCTCAGCGAGAGACAACATTTGGTAGGCGTCACAGGTGTCAGTCTGAATTTGTAGACAACAAATTGCCTATAATATGCTTCATTCTGGAAATGCTATGAGAATATTTGATGTAGCCCTTGCGGAGCAGTGAGAAAATGTTTATTACTGAAATATATGCTCAGTTTATAATCATCATTCTTATGAGGTTGGCATCTCATTTTGAGTGCATGTGGTATCATTACATGAATTCATTTTATTAAATTGACACTGAAGTAATAAAGGCTCAAATCAGTCATCATCATAACGCTATTCAGCTGAACACTGAGTGCCTTTATATGATTGTACTCCGATTATGCTCAATATCCTGGCAAAATATAAGGTCATATGTAAATAATTGCTTTGCTCCATGTTTACACTGCTAGTGCTGAAGTTGCATTGATACTAATGTGAAATGTGACAATTTAAAGGAATGGTTCAACCAAAAAAGAAAATATGCTAAAGATGTACTCACCCTCAGGCCATCAAAGATGTAGATGAGTTTTTCCATCATTCAGAACGGATTTGGAGACATGTAGCAAGTAATCCACATCACTCCAGTCCATCAATTAACATCTTGTGAAGTGAAGAGCTGTGTGTTTTAAGAAACAAATCCATCATGAAGATGTTTTAACATTAAAACCATCACTTCTGGCCAAAATAGGTGTCCATAATCCATAATAACACTTCATCTGTGCATATTTATCTCCTGATTCAGATGAGACAACTTTTTTACTTTACAGAGGGCTCATGTATCAGCCAGAAGCAATGGTTTGACGTTAAAGATGTATTAATGATGGATCATCAGATTTTCACTTCACAAGACATTAACTGATGGACTGGAGTGGTGTGGATTATTGTGATGTTTTTATCAGCCGTTTAGACTCTCATTCTGACGGCACCCATTCACTGCAGAGGATCCACAGGTGAGCAAGTGATGGAATGCTACAGTTCTTAATTTCCTCTGATAAAGAAACAAACTCATTTACATCTTGTATGGTCCGAGGGTGCATATTTTCAGCAAATTTTCTTTTTGGGTGAACTATTCCTTTGACAATCTTCTAGTAGGCATAAATAAGAGAATTTTAAAATAACTCCCTGTCAGGTGCTTGATTTGAACCAGTTAACAATGGAAAGTAACCCAGGCAGCAAGCCAGCATTACTTTCACAATCGGGATCCTTCAAACTGATCATTTATGTACATTTAGCAATATTGTGAAAACGCTGAACAAGGCAGAATACGGAGTAATTGCACAGTGTTTACACGGCATGAGATTACTGCTGTGGTCATCTATCATTTTCAGAGCTGACCGTAAGAAGTCATTAGTGGGAGCTCTGTAAACACTGTGGTGTGAGGAAACCTGTATTTACACCGAACCAGTCAGGACTTGAGCGCTGGGTGATGCTTGTCTCTTTTCTGATTTAACACTATAATCCTGCAATGTGAATAATGTAGTATATGTGCTTTCTGGATTGCTTTTATTTATTTACATGCAGATATTTTTGAAGTTGAACATGGTATGTGTGCCTAGGGGAATCAGTGTCAAGCTAAGTTCATCCAATTTTTTGATTACATCTAAAGCCTGTCTCCCTTATTCCCCAGGCACGTTTTCCCTGTTTTCTCACTCCTGCTTGCTCTCTCCATAGGGTAAAGCGTATTTTGGAGAGCACCGCTGTCACACCTGTCCCCATGCTGTCAGCATCAGAGCACACATGCTGCACCACTAACAGGATATGACAGAGGACACAACCGCTCCAGCTTTCGACTGTGCGAAGCTGCACTGAAGTGTGAGGCGTCTCCATCCAGAATTAGGCCACAGTTTAAGCAACTACGCTAACTTTAAGAGATTGACGTTCTCATAATCTGGTTTATGATCAAGTCTGATACTACCCAACTCACGCGAAATGCCTGATTGGTGACAAATTGTGTGCACTAGGTTAAAACCGAGCAGCTTATCATATCCTCTCTCTTTTGCGGTTTTTGACATGCTCACAGTTTACAAGGGCAACTACTTTCATCATATCGTATAGTCAACAGGCACGCTGTGCATAACAGTGTTAACCAGGCTACATAAAGATTGCATCGAAAACAGACCCGACATTTTTGACATTTGAAAAATGTCTACAGGCATACTGATATATCTGCTAGGCTAAAGAATCAGACAATATTTGGAAATGTTGTGATAACCTGGCCTCCCTTGGTGTCTCCTACAAAAAAATTAACAAATAGCCTTGTCAATAAACAGTCAACAATTTCAGTAAATTCTATGTTATAAGATATATTATCGATTATTTACACGTCCATTATTTTGCACAGTATTCACCCAAAGTAAATATTGTGCAAATCTACTGCGCTTGTGAAGTCTGTTTCTCTACTGATGATTTGGGTTCTATAATAATTAATGACTTAAAATCCATTAAACAGGTGTGTATGCATACGGTAACTACAGGAACTGTGCAGTTTCCTCCCCTTCTCCAAAGTATTTTTCCAAAACGAGCATGCTTTCATTTACCACCAATGGACCTGACAAAATAAAAATGGATTGGTTACAGCGGGAGCAACTCAGCTTTAATGAAGTATAATTGAATGTTGAAGTCTTTTGTTTAGTGCCGTACTTATCTGATTCTCACAGCAGGGTTACTCCAGAACAGCACTACCTGCAGACTTTTGTTTATTTCTAGCCTGGTTGTCTTGCTAAAAATCAAAGAGCATGCATGCACCTTCCTGAATGCCTCTTGGCTTTCTAAAATTCCAAGTTATTGATAAAAAATATATAAACATAAAATATAAATACCCAACTAACAAAATATGTTCGAAGAATGTTTCACTGAGGTTCAAGTACTGAAAACATTATTTCTGAATGTTCTCTGAAAGTCCAGTTTTTTAAAAGCTTAAAAACAAATTTCTTGGTTATGTGAACGTTAAAGACAATATTAAGGGGAACGTTTGAACATTATGGGACATTTTCTCTAAACCATCTTAGACAAACATCCAACTAAAAACTTGAAAAACAATGTATTAATAATGTTTTTGTGCTAATGTTTTAAGAACACTATTAAATACCAGATAACTTTAAATGAACGTTCTATTAATGTTACTGGAAGAATGTTTGTTCATAACCTTGTCAGAACGTTAGCCAGAGTTCTGAGACATTCCCTGTTAACTGGGTCGCAGAGATTATTTATGACCAGGCCTAAACACATCAGCATAAGGGACAATGCAGTATCCATGGAAACCACATAATTAATCATTGATAAGTATGTTTTTTCCCAATGCAGAGGTGAGTATGGCTAATGGAAGTATAGTAGAAGAGTTACATAATGTATTATTGCAGTTGGTTACATTTGAGAACATCTGAAATTGACCTGAATAAGCTAAATAATACTACATGGGGGAAAAAACAGTATTAAAACAACATTATTGGTGATAATTTAACTAGATTACACACTATATAGCATCTCCATTACTTATGCACTCTGCAAGCTATTATTTATATTTAATGTAATGTACAACAGTGTTGACAGAGCATTAAGGTACTGAAGGGCAGTTTTTCTCATACATGACCATATAGGACGGTTACATCATGATACTTTTATATGATTTTTAAAAAGTACCATAATTACCTTGTTTGGAGTACCATGAAAACATAGTATACACTGTAAAACAAAATCCGTAAAATATACGGTAAAAAAACGGCAGCTGTGGTTGCCGGAATTTTTCCGTAAAAAATACGGTAGCAACGTTTACGGTTTTACGGCTTTAACTTAAATTTACAGTTAAATACCGTAATTTCATTAACTGCTATAATGTTAATATACCAACCTATTGAAGTACTGAAATCTGTTTTGTACCTTTGTAATACACTGATAACCACCAAATGCAGGAGGTGATGAGAAAGTCACATGATGACCCAAAGCCCATCACAAGCAGCTTTTAAATAATAATAACATATATAGAAGGTGCACAGTGTCATTCACACACAAACACTAAACACCATCACGGTAACGCACATGAAACTGCAATAATGCAATAAACATTCATTCAACAACATTAGGTGTAACACACAACCCTAATATACAAAACTGATAAGAAAAAACTAAGAAGAAACAGTTACTTCAACAAAAAAAACATCAAATTTGAAATAAAACGCAGGGAATTCTGGGAATGTCAATTTACGGTTATTCACTGTAAATTATAGTCTTTTTCACTTCCAAAAACGGTATACTACCGTAAAATTAATGTCCAATACATGTAATGTTTAATACAGTTTTTCACCGTATATAGTAGGGGAATTTACCGTTAACCATTTAACAGGTTTTTACTGTAGCATTTTTACAGTATTTTACCATTAAATTCACGGTCTTGTTTTTTTTTTACAGTGTATACCATCTGAAATCATCACTATACCATGGTACTTGGTGCATGTGTACATCCAGAACACCATGGTAGTATCATGGAAGGTACTCCAATGTGCTTCGAAGAACACCACTGCCGAATGTACATCTCTTCTCACGGATCATATAAAAACATTGTGTTTCCATGATTCCTTGTCTAGAAAACACGGTAACACCATAGTATTTATATAGTATGCAAAACTGCTTCAACATATACATGGTATTTTCATGGCACATTTCCAAAAACGCGGTATTTTCTTCCTGTTTGATTCTTTCTAAATAATATTGTGGATTGAAATCTCAAATGGAAGACAGCACACGCGTATCAGGCGGATGCTGGTGTGTTTGCATCCATCCCGTTTGTCCATAATAACCGAACCGAACCGAACCGAACCGCCCATCAGATCAGATCATACTAAATACATGCATCTTCTCCAAACCAACGAGTAGCAAAGTACTGGCATGTTGTTTTTATGAAGCGTGTGACAAATAGCACTGCAAAACCAAATCCTTCTGAACACACAGACCCGCTGAAAATCACACGCACGTGACGTGCCATGACTTACCGAGCAGGAGCAGTTTCACCTCCCTCGCAGCCTTCTCTCCATCCTCGCGGAGGTTTTTGTCGATCATCTTTGATCTCTCGGCGGCCGCCTTGTCTTCTGTGCTCACCGTGCAGCCCATGATGAACCGTGCGCGCGTCAAACTTCAAAGAATAAGTCAAATCGGCCCGGTCCGTTCCGCGCAAGAACTGTAAACTAAAAAGGCGCCGCGTGGATTGACAGATGTGCTATAAAAGCGCAAAGTGTCACAATTTGAAAGCTTTGATTCCGAAAATCCCCGGCCTGTGATTCTCCATCAATCAGGAGGCTTCGAATATGTGTAGACGCGATTAAAAAGTTGTTTAGTTTCCCACCAAATCAATCTTTCTTTCTTCCTTCCTTTCAGATCAAAGAGCAGCCGCGACGTCGGCGCTTTCATCTACAGCTCACAGTTCCTGAAATCAAAATCATTTGCTTGCGCTCAATCAGATGTCTGTTTTTGCACGCGGAATTGTCTCCAACTGGTGAGAAATTCTCTGGTATTTGATTTCAAATTCAAGCGTTCTGCATATCTATCTTGGCGCAGGGCGATTCAAAATATTTCAAAATTCGAAATCAGAACGCTGCAGCGCTCGGCGTGGCGCTCCGCTCGCGCTGCGTTCTTCTGAGGAATAAACAGAGCGTAAGAATGTGAACAAGCCCAAGCGTGCGGCGGCACCCACCCACTCATGAACAACTGCGCGTGAATTGTGGGAAATACAGTAGTTTTCTACTGTTTCGAGTGCGGGATGTTCGATTCATTTTAGCGAATCGGTTTGCTCAGATGGCTCAATGAACTAGTTAAAATGATTCACTGGTTCTTTGAAAGCTTAACTCAAGTTTAATAGATATCTAATAATATAATTGTTATTCACACGGTAGAAACATTCACACAAAAGGCACAACAATCTTAGTACATAAATTCAGTTTTAATAAGGTTTCTGTTGGTTTACAGAAACATAAATTCAATCAAACAATCTTATCCAAGTAATACTTTTTCCTCCACGGGTTTTTTTTTTGTGTATAAATATACTTTTCATAAACAAGTAATTACAAGTAAAGCTATCTGCATACTATATAGCATGCTCTTAACTTGCAACGTTGTTAATCACTATTGTGCTACATGTAAAGTTTTACTTCATTGATATTGTATATATATATAGTAATTTCGATCTTTAATTCCCCTTTAATTTAAGAAAGAAAAAACTTGCATAAAGCACATTTCACTACCTCTGTAAGGATGTGTAAGGAAGTGGAATCGCGATAAAAATGTAATCTAATATCAATGTAATCTAATAATGGGTTAAAAGCGTGTCTTAAAGATGTGACTCGCATGGATAGCCCGATGAGCATGCGCTGTGCGAATCAATTCGAATGAAACCTTCAAAAAGAACCGATTCAAAAGAACCACTCGTTCGCGAATTGAACGTCAACATTTACATCACGTTTGGACTTGGAACTTTTCTTTAAGCTTTAAAGAAACCGGAGAAACCTATTCAAATATTCAGCACTAAGCACACATATGCAGATAAATAATAAGAAGAATACATGTAAAATGCACTTAAATGCAAGTTTAGGATATCCTATTTTATCTGACATTTGCCACTAGGATCTGCAAGCATCGCCCTCAAGTGTTAGAAAAACTAATCACAGTATTTTATAATCTTAGAAGCCTTAACTAGTCAAGTAATTTGATGTTCTAGTTTATTGAATCATAAGTAAGTCATAAGATAGGCAGGGCAGTAAATGCAAAACTCACATACAAGTTTAAAAACAGCTTTTTATTGTCAAAGTGGTTCTGCTATTTACACTATACAAGCTAAATATGCATCACAAATAAAAGCGGTTCACATTTATATACAATATATACGAATGCACTAAACAACCTATCATATGAACCCAGCTGTATCAATCAAATAGGCCTAGATGTGTGTGCTTGGAAAACAAACTGGTCTGTGTATTCCTTATTGAAAGGAAAAAATCCAGATGATCTGTATGATAAAATATAACAAATGTTAGCAAAACCTGTTTGAAGAAAAGGTATATATAAACTGTGTGACAAATAACCGTTACAGAATTTCAGTCATAATATTTTTGCATTACATACCATATGAATCACATTACAAAATTATCAGTATTCAGTGCCCTTGATTTAGTTGAATCCAATGCTATTTTGGTTGAAGCAAAATATGCCCAGCAAGGCTATAACTTGACTAAAAGAGTATTTTAAAAAGAACATTATTATGTTATTAGAATATTAAAATGACAAACTACCATTAATTGTAACCAGTATTTTAAAAAAAAATGCTAAAGTTCGAGGGTTATTTAACCAGCACTTATAGGGTTCATTGTTAAAAAAATAAAAATAAAAAAACCGTTAAGTAGTATTAAAAAGCATCTAAGGTAGCAGGTTGTAAAGTCAGGCACTTTTCTTTAGTATATTTAGATATATAATACTTCAAAAAGTACACTTTAGAATTAAATGATCAGTTTCAGGAAAATAAAGTAAAAAAAAAAAAAGTTGCCATGTTAAATAGTGACTTCTTGGGGACCACTGGCATTGTACTTCAATCTCCAGCATAAAGATCAGTTTGTTTTTTTGGTTGACAATGCAAACAGAACTAAGATAACAGCTACATTTCATATCACAAATAAAAATCCATTCCGTATCTAATTTTTTTCATGAATGTGGTGAAATTAACTGCATGCTCACTTCTGTTGCAGTTTTCTCATTGTGTACCAATATCTGCCACTACCAACCCATCTAGTCATCAGTCGGCACATAATATTAGCACAACTTATTGTACAACAGGATTGCACAGCATAATATTTTGGCAGAATCCGAACAGTTTTGAAAGCATCACATGAACCACTGAGTAAGAGCGAGATATTTCAAACTCCAAATAAGTTTCCTTCAAACTAAAAAAAAATACTGGTGCCTTTCATGTTTCTGCATTTCAGCTGGTTCATTAACTACTGCTAATACCAAAACAAGGTCCACAAATACTCAGATTACAAGAAAGAAAGACATCATTTACAACTGTTTTCATGCGAGATATCGAGAGCAGCTTCTAAACTAAATCACTTAAACTTCACTGCAGTGAAATGCTTAAAGAAATCGTTCACCCAGAAAATGAAAATGTACTCACCCTCAGGTGATCCAAGATATAGATGAGTTTCTTCATCAGAAAAGATTTGGAGAAATTTAGCATAACATCACTTGCACACCAATGGATCCTCTGCAATTGATGTACTGGAGGGGTGTGGATTTTTTTGTCAGATGTTTTTATCAGCTGTTTGGACTCTCATTCTGACGGCACCCATTCACTCCAGCAGATCCATTGGTGAGCAAGTGATGTAATGCTACATTTCTCCAAATCTGTTCCCATGAAGAAATAAATGTAATAAATATCTTCGATGACCTGAGGGTGAGTACGTTTCAGCTAATTTACATTTTTGGGTGAACTACTCCTTTAATATGATTGTTGGAATTGTAATACAGGGCAGATTCTGTCTATTTCAAGTAAAATATGGTTTCGTACATGTATATGAGGTCCATATCTAGCGTTTGTGTAAATGACCTTGAGTATGCAGGCATCATGATCTTCAACACAACACAAACAAAAATGATAAAGGACACTGTCATTGTACACGTTAATACTATAACACTAATACTCTTACACTAATACTCATACGAACTGCAAAATATATTCAATACAATTAAATAAATACATTTTTCACTGTTCAAATCTCCATGTGATTAAGGCTTGCCTTGCATTCTATGTCTACTGTGCATACTTTAGGAAAACAGAAAATATATTTCATGATAGTTTGATTATAGAAATCCTTCGCTTTGGCACAGTGAAATTGTGCGATATGATAAATTGCACTCTCACTTGACCGAAAACACTGCAAGTTACCTAAAATAGGTGGTAATGTTACTCGTTGACTGTCCAAAGCCCCCTGGAGAGTAAACCATCTACCGATCCATCTTTACCAAACTAGCCCGCTTCATTCAACTCCCAGAGAGCAATCAAAACCTCTACAATATCCTTGTTCAATGTCCAAAGTAATACGCAGAATTAAATATGTAAAAATCTGATATATAGCTTGCTGTCACTTAAAAGAAATCATGCAATTATGTGTTTCTACGGTACTTGCAGTCAAGTCGTGTCAAGTATAAGATCCCTGGATTGATGAAACAGAGCGTGAGAGAGTTAATAAAAATAACGACAAGCAAACTGAAGCCATAACAGCATATTTCTACAGGGTAAGTGATGATGCACTAACCCTTCAATAAATAAAAAAACTCTGCCCAAATAGACAAGATCAGCACTTTTACAGGTTTTAAAACATAAAACATCAATCTGAATTTATCAAAAGGTTTTTTTTATAAGAGTAATGCAGTTTTCCCCATTATCTGACGGAGGGCTATCTGTGTAAACTGGGGTGTTGATTTGGGTCCCCCTCACCTTTTGTCTTCCCACAGCGGGATAGGGTATCCACTGTGTCATAACGGGCAGAAAAATATGGATAGAAATAAATGAGATGTTACATCACTAACCTAAAGTATGCCACACACTCTCATACAAAGGCACTACACAAAAACACACATTCATCATCAGAGTTTGTCTCCTAGTGGCCACCCAGAGCACTGCTGCTGCCTGTCGTCCAATCAATGATGATGAAGCTCAAGCTCATTATCATAAACAACACGCCCAGTCCAGCAAAACAGGCAGCCTGAGAAAGAGAGAAAAGCATTTTCTGTCATTAATCTAAACAAATAAAATCACTTTCTGCCCAAATTAAGGTGTTGCCTGAACAAATTATGTTTCGATTCAGACTAATTTGTGAACTGATATTTAAGAGTTTAAGAAATGTTCAAAAAATGTACAGTAACAATGTATTTCTACTATACATCTCGGTCTTTTTTTCCAGTAGAAGAGATATAAACACTATGTAAATCCTTAGATGTGATGATATAGAACTGAAAATGGGTCGTAGCAGAGTCAGAGTAACTGGAATAAAGTAGCATAAACCTTGGATCAGTGCAGTATAAATTAGTATAAACTATTATAGTTTTTGGTAATATTTTGAATGACATTTTATTTCATATTTTTTGTTTTCAATTTAATATATCATAATATCATAAATGATATATATCATTTTCTTTAATATCTATATAGTTTTTATCATTCATTTAACAACAATCACAAATGTTGCCTTGAAGGTCAGTGTTATTTTAGTATAAATTAGATATTACTGTTACGTTCCACGTATGTTTTGAGTATATTGTTTTTTTTCCTCGCTCTCCTGTCTTTTTTGTGCCATATCTTACACCTCTTCTAGGTCAGTGTTTATTGGCTGACTGGACTGTTAATCATCATTCTGACGTCATGATGTTCTGCCAATCCGCTGACATGCCAGCTGTATTTGAGGCCTCGAGCTGATTGTGATTGTGAGTGTGTGAGTGTGTGTGTGTGTGTGTACCACGCCAGCATACCTTGTGCTCCAACACGGTCAGCAGTCTCGTGTTCGACATTAGTTTCAGTCTCCTGACGCTTAATGCATCTTGTCTTATGGAGTCATGCTTTGTGCTCTGTGATTTGATCTATTCACAGTTTCGTTCTTTGGCTATTGACCTGCATTGAATTCTACGTGAAAGATTAAGCCGATGTCCGTGATAAGAGTTTTAGTCTTACTATGTGTCGGGTTCAAAGTTAAGAATGCATTCCGGTGCATCGAGCTAAACACGTCTCTCGGTGTTGATTCGAATGTCTAGTCAATCGTTGTTACGATCTTGTTTGTTTTGCTTATTATATTAGTTTGTACTTTGTTATATTAGGTTTGTGAGTGTTACGCCACCCTTGTACTTTTGTTTTTTAGTTTAGAGGAGTTTAGTTCGGGCGTCATACACGCCGAAGATTTCGGTTTTATTTTTATATTTCTTTTCTTTGTTAGTTAGTTTAGGGGTTAGTTATAAGGATTGTTTTGTTCTGTTTATTTCTCTTATTTGGGTGACACTTCGGTTTCGTTTTCTTTTTTTTATGCTAAATCTCACATTTATTTGTACTCTTTCACAACGCATCCAGTACAAACTTCTAAAACGTACTACTTCTCAGTGTCATCTTTGGTCTGTATCACACCCAGTAACAGTTGTCTCACTTAGAATTAATAATTAATTAATGCATTTAGCAGACGCTTTTATCCAAAGCGACTTATAGTGCATTTAGGCTATACATTTTTTACCAGTATGTAGCTTAAATGTTACAGTCATCCCTCTTTAACATCAAGTACATAATTCATTTTTTGTATTTAATCTTATTTCAGTTAATGTTTTATTTGATTTCAGTTAAGAAAATTGTGGTTTTATTTTTCTATATAATAACCGTTTATCAATGTGAAGCTTTTTAAAAAGTTTTTTAAATATACTTCTCTGTCTTACTGGGTAGTCATAAATTATACAAACATAACTCACAAAGATTTTAGGAGTAGAGCGCATTGGCTCTTTATCCTTGGGAACAATACGGATGTAGAAGACAGCAGGGAAGATGAAGATAAGACACGGAGCGGATGTTGCACCTGGAGGAGGAAGAACAGGACAAATATAGATAAGCTAATCAGCTGAATCCAATTACATCTGACACTGATGACAATTAAACATGACGACAATTACAATTCCAGCAACGTTTTCCTTGCTGATGAAAATGAGAATGGAAAAGAACTCAATGTGAACAGAAACAATTTTATCACAGTAAGACTTATGGGTCAATGTCATAGGATTTCTGAAATGAAAAAGACATTTTAAAGAACACAAAGCTAAGGAGGTCAAAATATTTTTTCATAAATATCACAAATTTTCAAAACCTTTTTACACATAAAAGATTACGCCTAACTATTTTGTGTTTAAATAATTCATCTCAAAAAGAGAATTTTTACATCATAAATATATTTTTAGACTTTAAATCCGACAAAATAATAATAATAATTTTAGTTTAGTAACATGGACAAAAAAAGTTTCATGTCATTGATCGGTTTTGTTTTCTATTTTAATGCTATTTTTAATGACTGAATTTAAGCAACTTTTGAGCCACTTTGAGGTCTTACAGCAAGCTTAATCTGTCCTCTAAATCAGTGGTTCCCAACCCTGGTCCTGGAGGCACCCCAACACATTTTGCATGTCTCCTTTCTCTGACGCAACAGTTTCAGGTCTTGGAGTCTCTACTAATGAGCTGATGACCTGAATCAGGTGTGTTTGATTAAGGAGACATGCAAAATGTGCAGTGTTGGGGTGCCTCCAGGACCAGGGTTGGGAAGCACTGCTCTAAATCATGGGCAGCATCAATCGTTTTACAGGTGCATCTCAATAAATTAGAATGTCGTGGAAAAGTTCATTTATTTCAGTAATTCAACTCAAATTGTGAAACTTGTGTATTAAATCAGGTCAATGCACACAGACTGAAGTAATTCAAGTCTTTGGTTCTTTTTATTGTGATGATTTTGGCTCACATTTAAAAAAAAAAAAAAAAAAAAACACCAATTCACTATCTCAACAAATTAGAATACTTCATAAGACCAAAAAAAAAAATTTAGTGAATTGTTGGTTGAATTTATTTAATACACGAGTTTCGCAATTTGAGTTGAATTACTGAAATAAATGAACTTTTCCACGACATTCGAATTTATTGAGATACACATGTATATCACAATAACTATATATCACAATGTAGTTATTTTTGCTGTATTATTCAACCCAAATTATTCATATATTACATCAGTGGATCTTAATCATTCTGACACCAATGTCCCACTACTCTACAACACAAAAATGAAGGCTAGATATAGCTGTAATGACAAAACTGCTTGTTTTCAGACTTTTTATATACAGAAACTGGGAGTGGCATTTGGTAGTTCTGTATGTTGTTTCAGGGTTGGCATCATCTGAGGTCTTCCAACAATTGTATAAAATTACAGCTAAAATAATTAAATACCATAATTCCAGAAGTTTCAAAAACTTATTTAACAGTTTTCCAGCTGTTTGATTAGATTATTTTTACCCACAAATAGCTATTTCTCATCAATTTCTTTCCGGTAAAATATTTTAGAGTTTGACATAATTAGAATAACTTATTTTCATTATAGAAATTTCTGTGATTTTAAGATTTTATTGATTTGCATGACTTTTCCACGTCTAGAAATGAAACTAGAAAATTCCCTCATATATCCAGGTTTTCCAAGAACCCTGGTTCTTAAACAGAATAAAATAAAAACTGACGAGGGGAAAAATTTACATTACGAAATATAATGTCAGCTTATCTGTATCAAGGGTTTAACGGGAACAAAAGTGGCATAAACCTTTGATCAGTGCAGCGTTATTTTAGTATCACTGAGATACTATTATAGTTTTTGTTCATATTCTGAATTAGAATTTTTTTTCTATTTTCTGTTTTTAATTTTATTTAAAGTTTGATACATTTTTTACATATCTATATAGCTTTAATTATATTTTATTTATTTGTTTTAATTTATTATTTTTACAACTACACATTAACCTAAACAAAGTGTGCTGAGGCCCCCTAGTGGGTCCCGACCCCCGGGTTGAGAACCACTGTGTTACTTAACCTTCTAGTATTGATTTAAATAATCTAGTGAATTAAATAATACACAAACAAAAGGATGTTTATCTTTTATATTTTATATTATTCCTGGTTATTTGGGCATGAGTGGCAAATTGCAAATGCAATCCAGTTTTTTTGTTTGATGTATGATTCATTTTAAATCACCCTGTGGATATACTGTGGTAAAAATGCTCAAAACAGTACAATCTCTATGATATGAGCATATGAACATGTTAAACTCACTGGGAACAGAACGATGGGCACAGTCAGCATGACGGCGGTGAGCACAGCCAAACGCACGCAGAGGATGAGAATGTCGTAGGGGTCAATCCTGCTGTATGTGTGCAGAAGCTCGGCCTCAACATTAGCTGCGACAAAATTCAAGAATTCATCTACTTAGTTTGCAGCTCTAATAATGCACGCTAAGCAGCACATTTTTATTTGAATATTTCAAGATGATCTCATGTGAATGTTCAAACGCTGAAATAGTAATAACAACTATTTTATAAAGCGCCTTTAAAGTAAGCTTCTCAAAGTGCTTACAAAAAAAAAGAGAAAAAGCAATTAAACAAAGAAAGTATGCATAATGAAAGAATGAAAAAAGTAAGAAATCTGCAAACTCTCAGGACATGTTCTTGCATTCAGTGGAGAAAAATGAATATTGATATTCATTTATTTTTACAGCCGTTATCAGATAAATGTTTAAAAATGAACTATATGTTGCACAGCCAACCAGAGCAGGACTGTATTTAATTTCACATGCAACATAATCCATACATAAAACTGGACCAAATGCAAGATCCAGTGTGCTAGTACTAGTAACGGTTAAATATAAGAGTGTTAAACTTACTGTAAAATGTTAGGTATCCAAAGAGTGCAGCAAGGAAGTACATAGTGTACATGATCAGAATGGAAATGTTGGAAATGTGCTGCATCTTCCTCTGAGTTGGGCTGCAGGGAAAAAACCACGAGATTCCTATTCAATCTATTTGCATAATACACAGATTGCGGTCGCAGTGCTGCTTTAATGCAGTCGACTTACTTGCGCAGCTCAGTGTAGATGGGCAGGACCTCAGGGTGGCAGACGAAAGCGAAGGCCAGAATGGGGATGGTGTATGCGGTCTGTGGGACAGAGAGTGCTGTTTAGATACATTTTTCTGTGAATGTAAAAGCAGAAATGAAAATGTGCTATTCTTTGAGTGCAATACATGTGTGTTGACGGTAAACATCTGCGGGCTGCAGTAGGAGTCGTCCACCATCACATGTCCGTTATGGTAGCCGTGAGCGTGGTTAGTTGTCGCGTTTAAATGAGCGTGTGCCAGCGTGCTATTGGCTGAAAACTCCTCGAATGGGCACAGGATCTGGAACTTCTTATAGATGACCTAAAGATTCAGAAAGGAACAGAAGGCACAGTTAAAATGGAAAATACAGAATATCAACAACAAAAAGACTACTAGGGTGGTCATTTTGGCTATTTTGTGTATATATGTAGTAAGTACTCAACATATAATTCAGTCAAGAACATGAGTACTTCCTGTGTGTATTCCTTTAACTGCCATCAAACAAACCGTACTGCAAAAATGTAAAGGATAAATATCAAAAAATTTTTTTTTTTTTACATGTTTATATAAAGTTATATTCAAGCCTCTAATCGCTACATTTCTTGTCAGATAACAAGTCCAAAGACATACAGACATAAAAGAATACAACAGGTTAAAAGTAATGATCCCTAACAGCAGGTGAAATACCAAAAACATGACGAATTAACCAAAAACTTGAGTACGTTCTGTGTGTATTCCCTTAATTGTGCCAAACAAACTGGATGGCAAAAAAAATGACATGATGAATGAATGAATGAATGAATGAATAAATAAATAACAATCAAAACTAAGGCCATTTTTGACATGTTTGTATATAGCTGTTATGGAATTTTGATCTTGCAATCAATATTTTAAAGGTGAAAAAGCCATGCAAACAATAAATAAATAAATGGCCATTTTTCAACGTTTATTTATAGTTATGGAATTTCAATCTTGTGATCAGGGTTTTAAATTTGAAAAAAGGCATCCAGTTACTGGGTTTTTAATTATTTTATTTCTTATTTAAGCCCATCTCTAATGGCTACATGTCTTGGTGGCTAAAGGAAAGACATAAAAATAGTTATCCCCAATAGCAGGTCAAATAGCAAAAACAAAAAAACATTATTCTTCTTCAATGGGCCAAATGCTTCATGACAAACATTACACTTGTGAAACATTCTAGAGCATCATCATTTTATCCCCAGAGAGTCTAACCAATTAAAACCAATTAAAAGCCTCAGTCGTCTTCTTTTGAAGTCAGTCTGAGCGAGTGTTTTATGAGTCAGCGTTGCTGTGTGTAGATATGACATAATATGTATGCAGTATATTGCTTCCTCTGGGGAAAAATGTGCGGGTGAACAGCTATGTGAAGCTGTGATTCAGCATACTCTGAATTATGGATGAGATACAGGGACAGGAAGGTGGTGATTTTTTACATGACGAATGAATGAATGAATGAATAAATAAATAACAATCAAAACTAAGGCCATTTTTGACATGTTTGTATATAGCTGTTATGGAATTTTGATCTTGCAATCAATATTTTAAAGGTGAAAAAGCCATGCAAACAATAAATAAATAAATGGCCATTTTTCAACGTTTATTTATAGTTATGGAATTTCAATCTTGTGATCAGGGTTTTAAATTTGAAAAAAGGCATCCAGTTACTGGGTTTTTAATTATTTTATTTCTTATTTAAGCCCATCTCTAATGGCTACATGTCTTGGTGGCTAAAGGAAAGACATAAAAATAGTTATCCCCAATAGCAGGTCAAATAGCAAAAACAAAAAAACATTATTCTTCTTCAATGGGCCAAATGCTTCATGACAAACGTTACACTTGTGAAACATTCTAGAGCATCATCATTTTATCCCCAGAGAGTCTAACCAATTAAAACCAATTAAAAGCCTCAGTCGTCTTCTTTTGAAGTCAGTCTGAGCGAGTGTTTTATGAGTCAGCGTTGCTGTGTGTAGATATGACATAATATGTATGCAGTATATTGCTTCCTCTGGGGAAAAATGTGCGGGTGAACAGCTATGTGAAGCTGTGATTCAGCATACTCTGAATTATGGATGAGATACAGGGACAGGAAGGTGGTGATTTTTGGTATAAACTGTATATTTTTTGTACCAAATAAATGATTTATGAATGTCTTGATAACTTTACATTGTTTCTCTGGAATAGCATGCACTTATGAATCATGCTTAATAAGACTCAAGTAAATTTTGCTTCCATATTAACTTTAGTAATATCTGTACTAATGACAATGATGATGATGGTAAATACTTACTGCACTGAGGAAGAAGACCATGCAGCTGAGCGAAAAACCACTGGCATAACCAAGGTAACCTGAAAATGTAAATATAGCAAAGCAAGTCAATATGGCGTCACAGTGCTACTGTCAATCGACATGCTACGTACATGCATTCAAGCCTGAATCCCTGCAACTATAAATGCATGAGCTAAGAAAAGTGCAGTGAGCTATCACTCATCTCAGGAGCTCATCTGTGCTGACAGAGCTGACCAGACACAAATACTGACAAGGTCAACTTGATTCAATTACTATAAACATGTCAAAACAAGAAAAACAGAATTGTGTGTGGTTAAAACGGACTGTTGCTGTCAGATAAACATGCTGTACTGGTTTAGCTTACTGCTTCATATGAGAACAGAACGTGCTTTTAAAGTGCTTGAACTGATGCTCTGTAATATGAACGGTCCATACAACTGGGTCAAACGCACACGGAAACCCACTTTCATGAGGTGGAGAGAGAGACGAGATGACTGAAGTAGAAATGATCGACTCACCCAGCTGTTTCATTAGAGCCAAAGGCAGGATGACAGAGAGAGACGCAAGCACCACCAAGTAGTTTCCATTGAGATACCATTCCCTACAGAAACAGACAATTCAAGCAATGTCAAAAGCAAAAAACATTTTTACTGCGATTTCAGTTTAGATCAGTTATTTCATTGCTTAACACAACAATTTACTGAAAAACATCAAACAGAGGCATCATACTGTAAATGCTCGTCACCCCTATGGTGATTAATGTTCACGTTTCCACTAATGTTCAAAAACTTTAAATTTTCTCCCAGCAGTATAAAAGTGTTACAGTGTTACATCAAAGATAAACGTACTCTTTGTCTGATCATTACTTGCAATTTCCACCATGTGTGGCAATTTTAAAATTACAGACATAATAAAAATGATAATTTATAGATAATTATTTGCTCAATATAAAAGTGAAAGTTTTTTTTTAAAGTTTTTATTAAGTTTTCATTAAAGTTCAAAAGTTTTGGGTCAGTGAGAGTTTTTTTTATTATTACTTTTATTCATCAAAGACGCTTTAGTTTAAATTGATCAAAAGTGACATTGAAGACATTTGTAACAAATGACATTTGTTAATGTAACAAAATATATATTTTTTTAATAAATGCTGTTCTTTTGAACATGCATGATTGATATTGCATCATTGATAATAAGAAAGGTTTCTTGAGCAGCAAATCAGCAAATTAGAATGATTTCTGGAGGATCATGTGGCACTGAAGACTGGAGTAATGATGCTGAAAAAATCAGCTTTACATCACAGGAATAAATAGAAAACAGCTATTTTAAATTGTAATAAAATGTCACAATATTACAGTTTTTACTGTATTTTTAATCAAATAAATGCAGCAATAATAAGCATAAGAGACTTTCAAAAATAATAAAAAATCTTACCAACCTCAAAACTTTTCAACAGTAGTGTACACTAATATCCAAAATATGGTTATCATATCTTCTTAAGTTATAGTAAGAGCTGTAAATGAAGCATGAATAAAAAGGGCAACAAAATAAACCAGCAAACAGTAAAAAAAAATTTATTCATAACTCTATGCCTATTTTGTCTGTTTTTCTGTTTTCTGATTTTCTGTTCCTCTGCCTGTGTGACAAACTAACAGCATCTTCACTTGTGTGGCTGTGGAAATCATCTACACTATTCCAGAATCAACCTGGCTAACTCCATCCGATTCCAGTCTGAGTCTGTGTCTGCGATTATCATGATTTATGAGATAGTATGTTGCATTTGCCGTGGCCACTAGCGACACAGACCATTTAATATCGTGCCCAGAGCTGACTGAAACATGGCGCAGTTCCCGCTCCTGGCCTCAAGTAACCACCACACTGTGAACACGAGGACACACACACACACACAGAGTCACAAGGTGTTGCACAGTGTGTAGATCCAGGCCTTGTTTGAGACTCCTCTATTTTCAGACCCTCTCCACAACTCCCCACTTGTCCCGGTATTCAGACACTGAAGGGGGGGCTGGTGTGCCAATGCTCGACCCTCTCAAACTATATGTAGACTAATATACGTGGAAATGAAACATCATACATTATATATGAGAGGTAATAAAGATACGCTATTGTTAGGGGCATAACGATTCCTCTGCAGTACAATAAATGGACTATGTGTAGATGTAATATATATGATTTTACATGCTGACTTTGTGTAACAACGTTTAAACTAGGCCTGGGCGATAAAACGGTATCAATATTTATAGATGGTACACCTTCAATAACGACAAAAAAAATGTTGGATAAAGCGAACAATAGAAGATGTGTTCGACTCCATGCAGCACTGCACAGACCGATCGGCGAGAGTAGCCGCTTGCAGCCGGGGGCGGAATTGAAAACGGACTTCACCAAGTAGGTATAACTGCAGACCAGATCTCCAAAATGGGGTGTGAACTCCAAAAGTGGACAGAACCTCCAAAATGGGGCGGGGTCTCTTCGCGCAAAGACTTTCACCCTTGGCTCTGGCTTCGGCCAATTGCTATGGACTTACATTTCAAAATAAAACTTTATAAATTAAACATTGTTTCTAATTAATCTAAAATAAAATATGTTATATAAATAAATATTTTCCGTGAGAGCAGAGCCCAAAGCTTGTGGCCAGTGTTGTTCGGACTGGAGTTTGAACCTCCGCTTAATAAACAGGAATCACCCTCAAGCTCTCCCACGAGCCATCTCAACGCAGCGCAGGGGAAAGATTTTACACTATCACTTTGTTTCAGCCAACGGGGGCATCCCGGGGCTCGAACTTCGCAGAGTAGGAGGGGGTAGTAATGCTGGGTGTAACTAAAAAGGTGCCATAGTCCGGTGAGGATCGGTTGGGGAGTTACGGAACTCGTATCTCGTAGATATCATATCGCATAATCTTATTAACTGCTTATCTCCTGAACTTTCTCTAACACGCTATTCAGCGCCAATCCCGCCGTGTAGTCAATTTCACTGGTTAAGGTTAGGGTCAGGTGTGGGGTAGGCGTAGGGGTTAGCATTTATTGTAGCATAGTGTAGGAAATCAACAATGTGATTGACACAACCAATACAATTTTTTGAATCAGCTGTGGGGCGGAGTTTCCACTGAACTGGATTGGGAGAAAAAATTGTGCATGCGTGTCATGTGCCTGTCTGTCAATGGGAGGAAGCCACGCCCTATTTTGGCTCCCACCCCGTTTTGGAGATATCCAGGCTGCAGTTATACCCTCCTCGATATGTCAAGTCGGACAAATTCTGCTCCCGGTAGTGATGCTCTCGCGGTGTTTGCATACTCTATCACAGATGAAGTGAATAAAATGCAATATTTGTCAAACACACAGACGTTTCAGAAACGTTTTCATGAGCAACAGAAACAACATTAACATATACTATTTAAATACCAATAAAGTGGGATAAATATGCTTTTATCAGTGTTTTTTTGATAAAGTGACTCGATATAACATTGTGACTACAGTAAAAACAAGCTTTAACTTAGGGCTGTGCAATTAATCGCATGCGATTGTCATGCGCATCTCGTCAGTAAAGCCGGTTCCATGATTGCTAGTACATCGCCTTCACCTGCTTTCAGATGGAGCGGCATTTACTACACAGAGCCGTAGTTCACAGTTCGCAGATGAATCGCATTCGATTATGAACGCGATATTGCCTAGCTTGTCAGTGAACTACGGCTCTGTTTATTAAATGCTGCTCCATCTGAAAGCAGGTGATGGTGATTTACTACTAATCACAGAACCGGCTTTACTGACAAGATGCGCTTGACAATCGTATGCGATTAATTGCACAGCCCTACTTTAACTGTTCTAAAAACACACATTTGTGAGCATTATTGCTATTGAGGATGTTAGAATAAACCCGAAACACACGTTGTCATGCGGTTAACCTGGCCCATTGTGAAATAGCTGTGTCGTCATCAGAGCTCCTGCAGCCGCTCTGGAGAAACTGCTCTGGCTGAGTCAGCCGGCTGCTCTCGGAGCGCTCTCGCGGTGCTTTGCTGCCACACGTGACAGTCACGTGGCATCGGCGCCGTCTCAAGTCGGACAAAATTTCTAAATGGCATGCACTGCTTCAAGTCATGTGCTGCATGAAGTCGAACACACCTATAGGCACATGCTATGAGTGACGCAGACACGAACACATGCTGAATTGAGTGCTGTGCCTACCTGTGATGAGGAGATTGTGAATAAAAAATTTTATATTAGTCTAATTTAAAATAAACATTTGCATTTGAATGCAAAAATAGTACAATCAAATGTTAGGTAATAATAATAATAATACATTTTATTTATAACGCACTTTATATTCACACAGAATCCCAAAGTGCTACAGATTAAAAACAAGAAAAAATATTAAGAATCATTCAAAGGCTTTGCTAAAAAGGTAGGTTTTGAGGCCACGTTTAGGTGTGTGTCAGGAAGCGTCATCAGTGGCGCACGAGATGCAATGATGATGATGTAAGTGACGCTTTTGCATTTGAATGTTTTGTTAGTCTACATTTAAACTTGATAAAACACAATATTTAAACTTGATCAAACCTGAGAACACAAGCAGCTGAATAAAGTTATAACCCAGCGTTTGTTTTCAGATGTAAAAAACGAGTTGTGTCTACAGACATCGCCATGACGATACGCTTGTTTAAAGCAGCTGTCAAGTGCAGAAGAACAGAGGTGGGGTGGGAAAGAGATAGTATCAGCCAATCAGCTGCCGTTCTCTTATTAACTGACCAATCACAGTTCACAGAGCCCACAACACCTCCCCTAGATGTCAATTTGAGATTTTTGAGTGTTGAGTGACCTCAACGGGGATATCGTCAGCTGATAATGACAGTACATGTCTATACCAGCGGCTACAGAGCCAACAGAGATTTGTCAATTCATTCACATTTAACTGGCAAAATGGCATGTTGAGCAAAGGTCAAGATTTTCTCATTTAATTTCAGCATTTTACAATGCCACTCTAAAGTCCTTACCCTGAATTGGTATCTGCTTTCAAAAACGCCTGCAGAACCAGTGGGAACTCGGACTTGACGATGTATAAGTAACTGGACATGGCTATAGGAAAGACAAAAATTTGTAAATTAGAAGAATCGCAAGCAAAAAATATAACCGTCAGGGGTTTATGCTGATTTTATGCTCATTTTGCTTGCTGTATTCTGCTGGAACTATAAAAATCTATAAAACTTAAAGGGGTCATATGATGCGATTTCAAGTTTTCCTTTCTCTTTGGAGTGTTACAAGCTCATTGTGCATAGATAAGATCCCTGAAGTTGCAAAGACTAAAGTCTCTTTCTTTATCAAAGTTAAGACTCTGCCACGCCCCCCTAAAATGCCTCGTTCTAACACACCCCCACATATCTAGGTCACTATGTGGAAATATTTGCGTAATGCCGCCCAAATGTTCACGCAAAGAAAGAAGGCGTGGTTAGCGTTGAAGCAGCCATGTCAGGGAGACGCTGTGTGTTTCTAGGCGAAAGCAAAAGCACTTTATTTGGCCTTCCGAAAGTAGATGCATTTAGGAATCTTTAAGATGACTTACAACAGAACAGCAATGCATTTTATGGACGACCGTTTCGTGAATCTAGGAGAGGAGGTCATTCTGACTTTGCTATGACAATCTGGCGCTTCTGAATCAGCTACTGTTTTGTTATTAGTTTAAGTATTTGCTATTGACTGTTCAAATGCAGAGTTTTGTGCATCGTGTGTGTGTGTGAGAGAGAGAGAGACAGGGTCACATCACAGTGGAGTCAGCTGTCTTAACCGTGGCTTGTGTATTCCGAACACATACCAGCTTCATCACTGTGTCTGTCACGCGACTCTGTTCCCCTTTCGGGCTTGAACTGATGGTAAAACTAATTACATTATTTACTTTCTTTACATTTATTTTGAAAGATGAAGCTCGCGATTATGGTAAGGGGCATTACATTTACGACGAGCGCTTGCGGTGTTCGGCCAATCACAATGCACTGGGTCAGCTGGCCAATCAGAGCAGAAGGAGGGACTTTGTAGAAAACGAAGCGTTTGAGAGAGGTGGGGCATATAGGACCTACAATAATGTACAGTATTTGAAAAATAAAGTGTTTTTGAACATTAAAGCATGTCAACATATTCTGTTACACCAAATACACAAAATAATGATCTTTAAAAAGGCATCATATGACCCCTTTAAGAAAAAAACTACAAATATATTTAAATATAAATATGCTTTTTAAATATATTTTGCTTTTAACTTTTGGAAAATGTACAACTTTGCAATATATAAAAATTTATTTATTTTTTATTTTGTAAATGTATTTATGCACACACACACATATACACACATACATAGTGTTAATTATCAGCATAAAGCAAGTTTCATAATTTTGCCAATTCAGAAAGTGTGTGAATGAAAGTACAGGTATGGAAGTTAACTGGCAAAAGCAGAGAGGAAAATCTAAAAATGAATTAAATGAATGAAGAGAAAAGACAGAATAAAGATGAATAAAACAAGATCTATTGAATCTATAAAAAAATATGAATAAAGAAACTGTCTGGAAGCAGTCCGTTTGGGCTAATTTAATTGTCAGATTTTCTTTACCACCAATGTTTTGAAGAGTGATCGCGATTCCGGCTGCCATCTTCCCTGTCATTCCGAAGGCCCTGAATCCCAGCTGTTCATAAGATCTGATTCCTGGAAATAAATATCAGTCAAACATGAAGAGAGAGACAAATCTCACCACCGGAGCCAAGTTTCCACAAAACACCGTATCTCATGTTATGATTATCGTTGCCTGCGGTCACCGCAGTTTAACATGGAAACTCAGTAAGCCCTAAAATGGTGTTTTCAGAAAGGAAATGCCATCGCAACAATACACAAACAATGCCATCAACTGCATAAAAATGCTTTAAAACAGCACAAGTAATCATCAAAAAAAAATCTATTTTTATTATGACTATTTATTATTTATAGTGCGATGCCAAATATTACAATTATGTCATATCACAATAATATAAAATGTAATTATAATTAAATTATAAATATTATGAAATTATTTAATTGGCCAGTTGATCAATAAATGTACCTGTATTATATTATTATATTATTAGCTAGTAGTGGTAACCTCAAATTAATGGCAAATTTATGATTCAACGTATTACGAAAATTTTAAATCCTTTGTCCAGTGTTACTATTTTTTTCTTCACTATATTTAACCATAGTCATATTTCAGGGAATTTATTTTCAAATTTCAATAAAAATGCAGTTAATTCAGTAACTGTGTGTTAACTTTAATGCATCTGTCCACCTGATGAGGACATGACCATACAACACACTGATGGAGAAAATGTGCCTCGTCTTACCCACAACACCGGAGGACTTCAGCAGGAGGTGAATAGAATAGCAGGAGAGACCAGCTACAGCCGTGAGGAGAAACCTGAAGACAAAATACAACCATCACTATCACTCCACAACTGTACAACACCATCTACACCTACTAGACCTAATGTACAGTGTCTTTAGAAATTCAACCATAGAAATCTTCCGAGAAGAACCGTCGAAGTTCCTCTTTTGGAGATGAATGTACAACTTTATACTTACAAAAAAATGACTTTGGCAGACATTTTAAATATTAGGTATTAGGTATCCAGCACAGATATTTAAGATTATAAACTAAAACCACTCAAATACAACGTCTACAGCTTGTAGAGTTCCAACTCCAGAGCTGGAGTTCCAAGTGCACTGCATGCATGTGTCTTATATAATAAGGTCTACAATGCTTTATAGCTTTTTCAGATGTATTAATGCAGTTGAGTAAGATTTACTTCTGAATGAATCTTGGGAAAGTGCCAGTGTTTGTATTGGAACCAAAAAAGTACATCTGCTGATAAGCTATTCTGTGAAACCCCCGCGATCAAACACACCACCAACCAATTTTACCAATTCATCGAGTTCTTTTCTTTTCGCTTATGTAATGGAAAGTCTAGATTTGCCAACTTTAAAAAAGGCAAATCTGATAAAAGCTTTATCTACACAATGGTGGAAAGCAATTAGTGTACTTTCAGGAGGATGTAAACTGTCCCTGAATTTAGTGTATTGCAAGTCTATTTGGAAGACAGGTACCTGATCAATGGCAAGTAATTAACAATGGGCATGAAATGAGCTCTATAACAACTCTATTCAAATGTTGACTTCAACAGCTGCCTACCAATTCAGTATGCAAGAGGAAGTGTTCTGTCAATACCCGTGTTCTGTACTCCACACATCTACAAGAGAATTCTCTGAATATGCATTGCTCATTTCAACACAAATATGTCTTCATTAGTATATATACACATGCTATATGTATTTTATTTATATGGCTCTTTAAATATTGACTATAAGTGGCATTATAAACATTAGTCATTTTATTTAAAAAAGCTGATGCAAAAAAAGACGTTCAGACATTTCAGCTCAGTTTAGAGGAAATTCCACCATTTAAAAAAATGTCACCCTCATCTGATAATAATGTTTATCAGATAACCACACAATGGTGTTAACCACACAACAATCCAGGTCACACTGTACTCCAAAATTGAAAAGAAATGTGATTCAAGTTATTTTAGTATCACTGCGATACTGATATAGTTTTCATTAATATTTTGTTTTGTTTTCAAATTTTCCATTTCCGTTTTAGTACTTTTCTTTTGTGTTTTTGTCATTTTTTTATTTTAGTTTTTGGGTTCTTTTATATAATATTTATAATTTTTTATGTTAGTTTTTGTTATTTTAGTTCATCTAAACTAAATTAAAATGAGAAATGGTGCCTTGGCAACTACCTGAAATAAAAACTTTTAAATATTTTATTTTATTTCAGTTCATGTTTCATTTCATATAACCAACACATTTTTTGATGACTTCAATTTCTGTTTTAGGTAACTATAATAACCCTGATTTTTAGGGGGAGAAAAATGAGACATCTTTTGCACATCGACATCGTTTTTTACTGAATATGACCAGGGCATGTTCTTGTCTGGTTTTGTTCGATTCACTCATGAAATGCTATTTTTCTAGACTGCATGCTTCATGTGAAAAGCAAACATTCACAAAATGTTCATTTCAAATTAGAAATTCCTTAATGAGAAAGTCATTCTCATGACACATTTTCTCATTTATAGGCCTACAAGGCGAGTTGTATGCGTGAGGGATGTGTGACGTTTCTCCTAAATTGAGGTTGATGAATTTCTTGTTATATACCCAGAAATAAGACTATCTTTGGAGGAAGCAGTCTTGGCCTGTTGGATAACTTGATCGGTGGTATTCAGTTCCCTGTAACCTGACTGGAGCTGCAGACACCCCAGACGTCTCCCCACTCTCCTCCCCCACCCGCGAGAGAAACCAAATATGACAACTATATTTGGATGGGGGCGGGGATTCCTAAAAAGAAGGATGTCAGCCCAGGTCATGGCCTTTTTGGGGCCGAGGATAGATGAGAGGGGTGGAGCTAACCAGTGGAAAATTTTAGGAAGGAGGGAAATAAAGAGTCAATGGCAGACCACACAAACACATGTTATTATTAGACACTTAATATATTTTGTATTATATATAAAATTAGAAATCTTTTTTTAACAATATAAGTGCTATCACTCTTTATCAATTTAACACATCCTTGCTAAATAAAAGTGTTGATTTCTTTCAAGAAAAGAAAGAAAAACATTTACTATCCCCAAACTTTTGAACGGTAATGTATACGAAAGATTTCTATTTTTTAAATATATGCTGTTCTTTTGAACTTTGTACTCATCAAAGAATCCTGAAGTATCACAAGCTTCCAAAAAGCAGCACAACTGTTTCCAACATTGATAATAAATCAGCATATTAAAAAGACTTTTAAAGGATCATGTTCAGCTTTGCATCCCAGGAATAAATTATATTTGAAAGTATATTAAAATAGAAAAACATTATTTTAAATTGCTATAATATTTCACATTATTACTGTATTTTTGAACAAATAAATGCAGCCTTGATAAGCACAAGAAACTTCTTACATATAGTCTCTCTCTCGCTCTCTCTCTCTCTCTATATATATATATATATTATATATATTACTGTCAAATGATTAATCACGATTAATCGCATCCAAAATAAATGTTTTTGTTTACATAATATATGAGTGTGTACTGTGTATATTTATAATGTATATCTAAATACACACATACAGTATATATTTAAGAAAATTATGTTATGTTTTTATATTAAATATATTTATATATAATATAAAATATAATAATATAAATATATAAATGTATATACATGTAAATATTTTCAAAATATATACTGTA